TTTTTTTTTTCCCCGGGGAAGGTGCCCGAGGGGTTGGAAAGAGGAGTTGAACTTGCCGCATTGCAACAGGCGAAAGAAGTGAGAAAATCAAATAATCGATCCCGCTGCTGCCGCTTCTCCTCGCAAAGTTTGGAGGTGCGGGGGGCGGGGGGCCGAGAGAGAAGGCAGGGAGAGGAAGAGAAGGAAGGGACAGGAGGAAGACGAGGAGGAGGAGGACGAGCCACGGCGCCCGGACATGTCCAGGAGGAAGCAAGCCAAGCCCCGCTCGGTGAAAGGTAAGGCATCCTCCACCGGCCCCCGCCGCCGCCGCGGCCCCGGGCAGCCGCCGCCGCCGCCTCCGCCGCCGCGACGCGGCCAATCAGGGCCGGGGCCCGGCTTGGCGGGGATTGCGAATCCCCCCCCGGTACGGGCTGGTGGTGGCGGAGACCCCCCCGGAACCCACGGCGTGTCCCTGCGCGGGGCATCCGCCCGCCCGCCGTCCGTTCCGGGGTTGTGTGGGTACCGCGGCGCCGGCCGAGACTCGCCGGCGACACGTGTCGCGATAATTGATGAAAGAAGCCGGTGGCATCGTTGAGGCGGGGAGGGAGGAAAGTTTTGCGGTGATGCTCGGGTGCGGTGGCGCATCGGCGGGCCGAGGAAGGGAGGAATGAGTTCACTCGTGTTTTAGCCGGTTAGCCCGAAATTAATGTTCCTTTATGACTGGGAATAGTAGCGCCGTCTGTTTGCTCCTTCTGTCCAATGCGCGTAAGGGTGGTGAAAGAAGGGGAGAATTAAACCCGATTTGATAGATAGGGGTTAAGAATTTGCTTGGGCTTGAAGAAACAATAGCCAAATTTAGTAACGGGTTTATGAGTAAAGGTTAGACATTAAACTATGCGTATTCTTCTCCATGCCCAGCGAAGCGGTGTTTAAAATCTCCTGTTTACCTCCGTAACAAAACAGCTGTTGGAGAAACGTAAAGGGAGGGCCAGGACCAGCCCCGCGCCGCACTGCACGCATTGCCAGCTTTTTGACTTTTAAGTGAATGGGTGCGAGAGAGAAAGCGTGATTCCAGAAGCCTTTCGCTCCCAGCCACGAGGAGGTTAGCTGATGTTGGGGAAGGTTTTATTGTCCTCTGCACAAAGCAGAAGTCGCAAACTCAGTGGACCGGAGGCTTTGTTGTAGAAACACAAAAGGATCAGAACTTTGGACGCCTAGAAGATGAAACAAAAAGTCCAAAGCTTTTGTAATTAAGTAACTTGTAAGTGGACAAAAATTAGCATGCAGTTAATCGATCAGCTAAAGAACAAATTGAAACCACATCCATTGCCATTTTATATTATTTGTGAAATATCCGTTCATTAATAGATGATTGCAGTGTAGTTGTATGTGCTTCAAATGTTTACCAAGTTTTTGTAAAGTCAGTCCTTTATCTTTGTACAACTCCCTTAATAATTTTTCCCCAAACTAAGAGCACCTTTTAGCATTGTGCTGTGGGGCAGGTTTGCAGCGTGGCATTGTGACCCTCCGCAATCCCGGACAATCTGCTAATGCAGCTACTTCAGTAATTGGTAGATGAATGTTACAGTCTCTGGGCAGAAGAAAGGCAGAGATAGAGCTATTTCTAGGGGATGCTCTGAAATACATTGTTTGAAACTAAAAGAATCACAGTTTGAGGACGGTGGAGCAGGCCTTGGGTCATGACTTCTCTCAGATGAGGGGATCACATTTAGTGGCCAGGCCTCTGAAGTTTAAAATATTTTCCTGTGCTCAAGTGTAACATTTAACATTCAGGAAATAGTTCTATGCCAGTGCAAACAGTCTTTGCTCTAGAAGCTCAGTTAGTAAACCTTGACATTTTGTGACATACAATTTTAGATATTTACCATTTATTACTCTTTTGTTTTCTTCCTCGTTACTTTTAGGCTACAATATCTCTTGCAAGTGGTTGATACTTTATAATGAAATTTTTACTCTAATTCTGATATAGAACTGATCATTATTTATGTGCTCACATTTATGAATTAAAGTAGGTAGCTTACTGGCAAGTCATAACTGAGAAACATTATCCCTGTAATGCAGAAAATTCTAGAAGGTCTTTGCAACAGTGAGCTGGGTGAAGCCCAGTTTTTAAAGATTATAAATATTTTTGATGTCTCTAGGCACAAAAAATTGTTTCCAGCTTCAGCAAAATCTGGATGTAAATTACAGGTCTTAGTTTGAGCTGCCTAACGGGGAGTCTAAGAATGAGCTGAATCTGGGTGAAATTCTGGATAATAGGAGACAGCTCATGTGTGCATGTAGGATAAAGAAATTCTTCATTCCTTTCTATTCACCCATATCTTCTGCTTGTAAAAAGTCCGTTGTATACATTTTGTGGTCTAGGGAGCTGGCAACCCAGTAGATTGCCACAGTACACGTTTCCATGGAAATAATTGAGATGTAATAAATAAAGGCACTCTGAGGTCATAGGTTTCCCAATTCAACTGAGAAGAGAACAAGCATAAATTATGTGGATATATGTGTGGCATTTAGGACTTAAAATAATGCAACATTTTTCTCTTTTCCATCTTTTATTTCACTTTGTATTGCAGCTTTGCTATTTATTAACTACTATGAGATTTGTGTATCCTTTTTCATTCAAAAAGATTATGCACTAAAATAGGATCAGTCTGTGCCTGTGATGAAAGGGATTATTCTGCATGCAAAAAGCAAGTTGCCTGCATTTTAAGTAGGAGCAATGGTGACTTTAAAGAAATGATTGACTTTGACAGAAGTATTGAATGTTGACAAGTCTTAGATGCGCGTTATTGCAAATGAAGTGATAGCAAACCCAAAGTGGGTGCCAGCACAGCTGCAGGTCAGGTGGCCCCTGTGCTGTATTATGAGGTCTCAGGTTCAGCCTGGCAGAAACTTACAGTAATTCCTGCAGCTGTAACTCCAGCAGTAGCCCTGGGCTTCCCCCTGACATGGGATTTATGATTTGCAATACAATTCACTGATTTGTTTTGACCATCAGTTTGTGCAAACTTGAAGATGCTAACCTTATAGCTGGTGGTTGGAGACAATGTTGGCTTAAAGGAAGGTGGTTTCACATCAATGAGAATGGAATAAAAGTGTGAGTGTTGAGTCTCTGCTGGTTTACAAAATGAACACTTAGGGGACAGTGTGGTGGTAGCAGTGATGGAGTAAAATACTTTCTGAAGCTTTACTTCATATCACAGATGAAGCCCAGGAAAGTAATTTTCCTCAGCACAGACTCTTGCCCTGTTACCAGTAACCTCAGCTGCTGAGAGTTTTTACAGTTCTTTCTAAGGAAGAGTTATACTTTAGTCAGTGTTGTTAAAACCACGTGGACCTGAACCCCAGAACGTAACACAGCTGTCAACGTCAAAGCACTCCGTCTTGTCCCCCATTACAGCTAATGAGCACTGATACTAACACCGGGGTCCTGAAAAGTTTGTTTGGTGCTGGCTACTACAGGGAGTGGGGGGCACCCAGCCCACTCAGGGGGCTGAGGAGGACAGGTCTTCCTTCTTCCCCTTGCTCAAACTGCAGCTTCTTGTGTTGGAGGTGGTTCTGGACGTCGCCATGCTGAGATGTGGGTAACAGCAACCCGTGGATTTCCAGTCCCATGCAATGGTAATTGAGGCATTACTGGAGTGCCCTTTGTGGGACTGGGCTCGCATTGGCACGAGGTTTTAGGCATCAGATGCACTTTGGCTGCTGAATTTGACAGTTCTGCAAATTGCTGTCAGCTTGCGGGGGTATTCTGTGCATAAACGTGCTCGTTGGTAATCAAACTGTTTTGCAAAAGAATGCACTAATTAACTCTAGATTTGTTATCCTACTTGAAGTTGCAGAATTGCTGTCATATTTTTTTGCTTTCTGTTGGCAAAAAATGCTGATAGAAACTTTTGATTCACACCCTACCTGCCTCATTTGTGTCAGTCAAGAAGAGAAAAGGGGGGTTGCTCATTACTTCGTTATCTGCAAAGTAAATAAAAATACTTCAACCATTTGCTGAGTTCCAATTAGTTGATTGCTATGAATGATCTTCTTTAAAGGAATGCTGTTTTACCTATCTGCTCATACAAAGGTTTGATTTTGAATGTCTTGTGAAAAGGATTCTCTTTGTCTTGATTGATGTCAAGAATAAAAGCATGATGGTAATATCCCTTTGAAAGCTATTGTATTGTCAGCTCTGGCTGACAGCAGGAGGCCCTCCTAGTGCTATAGATTAGCGCTGTGAAAACACTGACATTTTCTTTGTTATATTGCTGTTGTTCTGCTTGCAAAGTCAATTATACAATGTTGGAGCTCAGTTACAGAGTTGACTGTGGAAGTAACAATGTCTTTCATACTTGTCTTAAAGATATAATTTTCCTTTTTTCCCAGCTGATAAAGAAGAACCTGAAGGTACTGGAACAGTACATTCTACAAATTAAATTTTGACAAGTATAATCATAATTGCCAAATACAAGAGACTTGTGTGATTATCCTTTAATTTTACAGTTCATTCAAGTTTCGGTGGAATTTTATTGATACAGTGAAAGCAGCAGCTAAAATTGATAAAACTCATATCAAATAAGATTATGCTCTTGATTGTTCTTTATCAAGTGTAGCTTTTGGGGGATTAGGAATAATTGGAGATGTTGGTGTTTCATTGTGGGGCTGGTGCCCTGAGAGTGTTTGAATCCATGCAGTATTCCGAGCACTGCCTTCAGGGATTAGCCTGCAGTTTTTAATTTTTGCCTGTGTATTCTGCTACAAGCCTAGCAGCGTTCTCCTCTGAACTCCACAAGTCCCATTTTCCTGCCTTTCTTTCCCTCTGGTATGCTCTGCTGGCCGGGATCTGGGTGGTATTTAACTGGTTTTACTGATTGAAACTCCTGCCTGTGTGCAAACATCTTTTAATTGCGGCCTGCTCCCATTGGTCTCAGTGAATATTACGAATAAACATGGCCAAAAATTGAAAAGAGTGGGAAAGGTAACATAAAACATTTAAATATAAATGGGAAGAAAATAGAAATCTCATATTTTTAGTGACTCTATGTCTAAAGCCATTGAAGAAGAATAACTACCATTGTACAGCTCTAGGAGAATTCTTCCTATGTTTTTCTTCAAAAATATTTGTGTACAATCAGCACAAGTTAAGGAACATCATTCACTGCTGAATTGCTTCAGATGACACATGCAAAAAAAAAAAAATCAGAGACCTCTCATAGGATGTTAATTGTAGGATTTCTAAATTACTATTATAAACTAATAGAGTAACAAAAGATTCTACAGTTAC